TAAGCAGAAAAAGCCAGAAGTGGCGCTGTGGCTCAAGTGGTAGAGCGCTAGCCTTGAGCTGAAAGCTGAGAGACAGTGCCAGACCCAGAGAGGCCCCATGACTAACCAAAAAAAAAAAAAAAAAACCCAAGCCCTGAGTTCAAGCCCTAGAACCAATACACACACATACAAATGATCTTGGAGGTTTCTACCCTTATTAAGGATAGTTTCATAGTCAACTTTCTGTTACGGGAATCTCTTTCTTAGGCACTCAGTATCTAATGGTCTGTGCTTGGAAATGAGTTTTCTTCTGAGTATTGCTTTGGCTGCATCCCGTAAGTTGTAATGTGGGTTTCTCTCATCCAGCATCCAAATAGTGTGAATCATTGAACCAGCGTGTAACCCCTCTGCATCCTGAGAGGCATTGGAAGAGAGTTAGCAGACTTTCATCGTGAGATGGAAAAGTAGTAGTTCCCTCATTATTAACTTAAACCTTTCATCTCACTGTGTTGTGAATGTGCTTGACTTTGGAACTTGTTGAACTTTCTTAGTGCCTTGAATCATTATTTAAATGTTCTATGAAATTATCATTTAAGTTTAAAATTTTTATTTTTTATCTTCACATAGTTGTACAAAGGAGTTTCAGATCAACATGTAGTTCATGTGTACAATATGTCTTTTTTTTTTTTTTTTTGGGTCCGGTCATGGGGGCGTGAACTCTGGGCCTGGGCCCTGTCCCTCAGCTCTTCAGCTCAAGGCTAGCGCTCTACCACTTGAGCCACAGCGCCACTTCCTGCTTTTTTCTTTTTGCTTATGTGGTGCTGGGAATCGAACCCAGGGACTCAGGCATGCAAGACAAGCGCTCTTACCACTGAGCCACCTTCCCAGCCCCTACAATATGTCTTAATGGTGTATTATTTTCAAAATTGTAAGTTTCTTGTTATTCATTGGGATTTGAACTCAGTGCCTTGTGCTTGCGAGGCAGATGACCACTAGTTCACAATGCTTGACAGCTCCAAATACCTGCTGGCTCAGGCGGTCTGGGCAAATACAACCATGCCCACCCACTCCCATTCATCCGTACAAATAACTAGAAAGTGGGGTGCACTGGTTGTAAGAGAATCCCCCTTCCAGCCCAGCTAGGCTGTTGCTGAGGGTGGCTGTGGAGTCTGGTGGAGACCTGGGGTTTGCTGGCAGAGCCCGCAGCGTTTGCTCATTGTAACAAAAGCACCCAGGAAGGAGCCGGGTGTACAGACCCAAGGGCCGCTATGGGGTGGTGGTCACAGCGTGGCCTGGCGGTGGCTTGGGAGGAGCTCTTCTTTCCTCTGAACCACTTGTGTGTGACACACTCTTCCTTTGTCACAATTTGCATTATTCTTATGCTGGTCCTGGGGCTTGAACCTGGGCCTGGGCGCTGTCCCTCAGCTCTTCAGCTCAAGCCCAGTGCTCTACCACTTGAGCTACAGCACCACTTCTGTCTTTCTGGTGGTTTATTAAAGATAAGAGTTTCACGGACTTTCCTGCCTGGGCTGGCTTTGAACCATAATCCTCAGATCTCAGCCTCCTGAGTAGCTAGGATTATAGGCGTGAGCCACCGGTGCCTACCTCCTGAGCTTTTCATGCTCAAGGGTGGTGCCCTACCCCTTGAGCCACAGCTCCACTTTTACATTTTTGGTGGTTCATTGGAGATAAGAGTCTCCAGGATTTGTCTGTCTTGGCTGGCTTCGAACCTTGATCCTCAGATCTCAGCCTCCTGAGTAGCTAGGATTGCAGGCACGAGACACCACTGCGCAGCTGCAGTTTACAAGTGCTCCGGGATCCTGAGCTTCTCTCTGGAGACAGTGACCTTTCTGGCGAGCACCCTGGGCTGCCTCCAGTCTCCAGGCCACTTCCTGTCAGCGTGGACATCAACCTGGTGGCATCCCAGTCAGGTACCCGTGCTGTCCCCCTGGCTCTGTGACTCAGGTGTGGGCACACACACCCTATTTTCCACACGGGGAAACTGAGTCATGCAAGGTGAAGCCTGTGTTAGCTGGCTTAGCCTGTGTTAGCTGTGAGCCTGGCTACGGATCTGTTACTCCCTCACAGCCTGGGGTGGGAGGCCAAGGTTACCGGCTCTGCCTTGCCCCCCTTGCCCCCTGGCATCTCCTACCCCCAGGGCAGCTGGGGACCCTCTGGGCCTTCCAGAAGGAGAGAGATGAGCACAGGCAGATGGCCACAGGGAGGCTGCTGGCCTGCGGGCCCCTGCTTGGCCCAGCATGCCTGGGGCCGCCTCTGCTCACCGAGCTTTGTGGTCCTGGCCGGCTGGGAGGGAGCCCAGCCCTGCTTTGCCTTCCCCAGCCTACACCAGGCCCGGAGCTGCCTGTCAGCTTCCCCCACCCTCAGGGAGGCCAGCATCCCCTCCTCCAGGAAGCCTTCCTTGGTGTCCCTGGGGGCACTGATCAGCACCGCCTGTGGTTCCTAGGCTCTCTGTGGGCTGGGTCTGCACTGGGTTGTTTGTCTTGGCCTCCCTGGGTGGCCACCCCTCCTCCGAGGGGACATGGTGGCCTGGGGGGCTTCTCCCCAGGGTCTGGGGAGGAGAGGGCTCTGTGGTGGCCTCGCCCCATCATAGGGGGACCGGAGCTCAGGACTTGGCATGTCCGCGCAGGGTCTGCCATGGCTCATCCTGTAAGTTAGGCAGAGTCGTTTAGCCCGTTCCCAGCCTCAGTTTCCTCATTTATTTACTTATTATTTTTTGGGTCCGATCGTGGACCTGAACTCTGGGCCTGGG